TCCACTACTTTAAATGAGGCATTTACAAACAGTATTCAAGTTTGTATTAAAGGAAAGAATTAGTTTGACCTCTTTTTGATGGTAATGCATACATATAATTAAATACCTTTCTGTAACTGTGACACTGCTTTATTAGATCTATCAGTTATTTTTGGTCAATTTATATTTTAACATTATTTCTTAAACACAGTAAATTGTTTTAAAATAAAAAGCATACTGTAGTTTTTATAAGAAAGCATAATTGTACCCCTACAATAAATTCCATTACCATGTTAAATTAGTGGAATTTACAATAAAGCATGGTGAGACCTGGCAAAACTGCCTCCTTTAGAATTTGTAAGAGCTGCATGCATCTAGTAAGAAGATTATCAATTGGAAGTGCCAGATCTACAAATTACTCATTTTACTATTTGTATCACTGATTTTAAACGTTTGGGTGTTCCTTGCTGGTTAACAATAAATCTCATCCAGCAACTAAATGAACACATTCTTAGGAACCATCAGAATTTGCACAGATTACAGTTAACAGTGATAAGTAGAATCAAGCACAGTATAAGCTTTTTTCAACTATTTGAAATTGTTTTCTTAAATATAAAGCTGAAATTTGTTAAACTATGATTTGGATGAACCACAATGTAGCATTGTGGTGGTTTTTAGATTGAAGGATGACTTTCTGCTACAACTTATGACTTTGACATTTTTAATGAGAATAAATGGGAAATGGAAAAGAATTTCTCAGTTTATTGGAAGCCCCCCCTTGATTTTGAGTGTTGCCATTTATTGAAGACTTGGCCTCTTTTAGATTATAATTTATCTCTAAATAAGATACACTGTAATTATTTATTTAATGCATTAACTTAATTCCCTGTAGTCTTCCTTAGAAAAGAAAAGCCTAGTCAAACTAATTCCAATCACAAAACCTGAAACTTAATTTAACTCTTATTTTCTTAACTATAGAAATCCCATTCATCTCATGAATGGGCTATATTTTATGAACAGAGCAACATTATTCTCTTGCAGCTTCCTGTAACTATACTCATGGCTATTAAATTGCATGAATTTTAATTCTATTATGTCTGCACATCTCTGGGCTTTTATTTTTCTGGGAAATATGGGAATTTTAATCAGTACATAGTAACTTTTTGTACTTCCAAGTTAATAACAGAATAGTAGTAATTGCTTGGATTTTAATGAATCTTTAAAAACTCGAGTTGTTAAAATTACTTCTAAAGATAGAGTTCCATTTTTAAATTGAACACATTTTAAAAACCAGTTATGCTTGCTATTAAGACATTTACATTTTTAGAATATTATGTGCATGTTGCCAACACTCTTAAGTAAAACATGGCTATTAACTGTGAAGGGCCTACATCTAAAATGTAATTATGGAAGAAAAACTTCATGAATTCTTGCACATTTGTGCAAATAATTATTTAACAATAACCTCATTGTTAAATTAACCAACATCATATGCTTTATGAGCTTTGACATTTTTTAGAGAAGTATTCTTAAAGTTGCTGCATTTTAAATTAATTACAATGGATAGTTATTTGGATGGGGAAATAAATGACTGAAATAAACTGGCAGTGTGTGGTGATGTTGGACCTTTAAAAAGCAATACAAATTCCTATGCTGTCATTTTGTCTTCTGCAAGTGCAGGTTTGTTTATATGGTTGACAATGCAAAAATAGAGGACAATTGGCAGCAGATTTGGGATATTACAGACCTGAACATTTCATCTTTAACATAAATGTGTTAGAACAATTGTCTTTGCATCTTTTTACATTACTGATGTTGTTTATACAACTTTCATGCTAGATTATTTAATTATAGTTTTTTAAAATTAATTAACTGAATTTAAGAGAAGATACCATTGAAATAAATGTCTAAGTAATTGCTATTCTAAACCCTTACTTCTTACTGTGGGGGGCTGGTATAGTATCTATTTCTTGCTTTTAATTTGCAAAAAAGGACTTGCCCAGTGAAAATCTATGTAAAATCAAAAGAGTTGAACTGAGTATGTACTGCCATGAACTTAATGTAAACAAATAGTAAAATTGTTGAATTAAGCCCATGTACATTTGTTTGAATTGAAAGTCTTGATATATGTGATAATTGAATGTAAAAACTTTGTAAATTGTAAAAAAAAGTCCAGGTTGTTCACTGTAACGAGGCAATTAATACTTCTCTGCTAGTTATATAGAGTACAAGAACTGCTTTACAATATGGGATGTACTTTGAGCGAGATGCCATCCTATCAACTGAGTGCTACAGATATTTTGGGTCATAGTTTCAACCAGATGCAGTTTTGTAATCCAAGAAAAAGGTGAACCTATGGTCAAAAACTGCTTCCATGATGAACCTTTGAAAATAGTCAGCTAAACTCCCTGGCAATCTTCAGGAACACTATTTATGACTAATTACTCCGTGATCTTTGATGACTATTCCACATGACAGCACTATAGCACCTTTCATCATTGGCATGGACTTCCTCATTGACTGCTGCTTCATGGATGGTAGCTTCATTGCTTTGGATAGGGATTTAAGGTAGTCAAGGGACAAATACACAGTTTTTATTACAGCTCTTAACATCAGGCAACTATCAACCTTTAAAATCTTTGTGAAAATTCTGGTTCCAGCACTATAGCTCTGATTGTAGGTTAAGTGTTATATTCAGTGTTGGCCTACCTTATCAGAATAAACTGTGCTATCAATCCTCTCACAGACATATGTAAGGTAGATAGCAATCAGTAGGATTTAGGGGACGATTTTCTGTCTCCAAATAATACAGCTTTTATTTCCTCCAGCAAATTTCTCAGTGATTCTAGCAGATAGCATCTAATACATTCATGATCTTCTTTCTTTCTTTAGAGATCGTGCCATGGCAGCAACTTGTTAAATAAATGTAATTACATAGCACAACTCAAAAGACTAGATTTAAATTTAGCAGCCAGTTGGTGATATTAGATTTGATAGTAAATGGAATAGAAGTGTTCTTATATTCCTGTAGTAGTTCAGTGGACCCCATTTGAACCAATTTACTGTTGGAATTCAGACAGGGTAGATTTGGTTCAACTTGTAATGGTTTTGGCTCTAGGATATTCTTGATTTTCAATATCCTAGAACATATTAAGTCTTCCCTTCAATAAATACACTTTCACATACCTCTAATCCTATGTTTCCTTGAAACAGTAATATGCTAGCAAGTCGTTTACTAAGGAATGTTATAAGGGCCCTGGAGGAAATGGTGATTAAAACCTTTATGTTCTCCAACATAAGGGAAAAGCAGAGGCACCATGTCTGATTAGGCAGAAAATTACACAGAATTTCTTAAGCAACTCTTGGGATGGCAATTGCCTTTTCTGCCTTGTCACACATGCCACTGTGCCATTTAAACATTAACGTGGAAACCTCAGGTTTGTCCCCTCTGCCAGGCACATTAGCTTAGTGCTTCAGATGTCAGCCCAAGTCCCTGCTACCTCCTTTCCTGCTGCCCTGGAAGAGTATTTGTGCTGGAGCTGGAACTCCTGCATTCATTCCTCAGGTGATCATCCACATGAATTAGGTGAAACAGGTCTGAGCTTTGAAGGTCTGCATTTTAAGAACTCGCAAGTGGGCTCGCAGAAATCAACACATCTTAGTTAGCTAGTTTCTTCTGTTCTAAAGGAAATGTGGATCTCTTTCAGGCCAAGATTTAGAATCTAGTTTTCACTAGACAGCAGGTTAGTACCTAGTTCTCATTTAAAAAAGAGGTGTTGGGGGGCGGGGGGAGGGCTAATTAGGTTTGCTGGGTTTTTAAGAAACTAAATTCCAAAGCATGGCAGAATGCTATAGGTAGGAATTAGGGGCATCCAAGGTAAAGAAACCTTTTTCTTATGATTTGTAGCTACCTACTGTGCCTGAATTGGTGCCTGTGTGAGGATTAAGCCCTTAGTCTGCTCTTGCAATTACTCAAATGACAAGTTTAAAAGTACTTGCTTTTGTAATAATAAAAATTGTCACCTACTCTTTTGAAGAATTTGTCTGTTTGTTTATAATTACCTGCATTATATCAATTTTCTGTACAATCCTTTTTTTTTTGTATCAAGTATTGGAACCATTTATCAGCATGGACCTAATTAGATGGATCTAATAAGCTCTGTCACATAAGGAATTGACAAACGTGGTCTGCTTGCATATAGTATGCGAGGCCTTTGTACAGTGCATGATTCTTAACAAAACAGCAACCTGATAGGAAGTTACAGATGCTTAACAATAAATCAAATAACTATATAACAGTATGTGGCTTATGAACAGAATTGAAGGAACATCAATGATTCTGCCAAAACTACATACTTCTATTGTTAAGAATTTTAAATAATGATCAAGAGACCATATAGTACTTGTCGTTCTTTACAGTATAAAGGCAAAAAAAATTACTGATAAACAGGCATTATACATTTCCATATATACTCATCTTTTATTATGGAGTTAGGATGAGTTCTTGTTTAACATTAGGTGAAGGCAATCACTTCAGGGTTTTGTTCCTCAATATCTAGTATGGGTGTTTGACATTAAATGAATCTTAGCTTAAAACTTATGAGCAAGTTTGCCATGAAAGCAGGGGTTCATGTGAAAGTTCTAAATAAATGGTTTGACATTTCCCACACTTTTCAATGGCCAGCTCTCCAACTCAGTCCATCAAACATTGGGTTTGTTGTTGAAAAAACAACTTTCTTAAATGTGTTTGGGCATCCAACCATACATAGGCAATGTACTGCAGTGAGCAGAAAACTGATGGTAGAGAATTTTACACTTCTTGACCCATGAGACCCCTTTCAGAGACGTTCTCTGAAAAACAGCATCAATACCTTGGATACTGTAGATTTTTAGTGAAGAACTATATACCTCCCAACCTAGAATAAATGATGGCCATCAGAAGTGTATGCTCTAATTACCTTATTTTCTTCCCAAGATTCTTAGTCCGCACATATTTTTTAAAAATAATTCATGCCCTGGTTGGTGTGGCTTGGTTGGAGCATCATCCTGCGTACACTGAAATCGGACTCTATTCTCAATCAGGGCACATACCCAGGTTGTAGGTTTGATCCCAGGTGGGGGCACATACAGAAGGCAACCAATCAATGTTTCTCCTTCCCCTCCCTCTAAAATCAACAACAAAAAATCCTTGGATGAGGATTTTTAAAAAAGTATTTCGCCCTAGCCAGTTTGGCTCAGTGGACAAAGCGTCAGCCCACAGACTGAAGAGTCCTAGGTTCAATTCCAGTTAAGGGCATGTACCTCAGTTGCAGGCTTGATCCCCAGCCCTGGTCAGGGTGTGTGTGGGAGGCAACCAATCGATGTGTCTCTCTCACATCGATGTTTCTTTCTCTGTGTTTCTCTCCCTCCCTTCCACTCTCTGAAAAAAAAATCAATGGAAAAATATCCTCAAAAGGGGATTAATAACAAAAAGGAGTAATTCACATATTTGGTTCAAGATACTTACATAGGGTGTCCCCCCAAAATGTATATATACACTTTGAATAACTACTCCAACAGGTTAAATATGAAGAAAGAAACATCAATTGAGCTATCAGCTGTTAAGTGTGTGTACATTTTTTTGGGACTCCCTGTATTTAGTTTTCCTTTATCACCATTGGTTCTAATATAACTACCTGTAGTTATATTCCTTCACAAGCACTGTTTATGACTTTGGACGTTACAAAGATCACTCCAACTGAAGGACAGAGAATGGACTACAAGATGCAAAACTGGAGGTAGGACAACCCAGGAGGCTGTTAGGGAAAAAAATGATGCCCTACACTACTACGTAGAAGGGATAAGTTCAAGAGATACTTAATAGGAATAAACAAGATTTTATTATTGACTATATTTGGGGGACGAGAAAAGATTAACTCCTATATTCTGGGCAACTAGGCTGTTGGGGGTGCCAATGACAGAGAAAACAGAAGGAGCACTTTGAGGGAAAGATAATGAGCTCATAGTGGGGCATGCTGAGTATGAAGCTCTAATAGGACTTCTACATCAACGGTTGACAAGTTTCAAGATGGGAGGTCTGCAAATTTCTATTACCTGTTGAGGGATAACAAATCACCCCAAACTCAATGGCTTAAAAAAACATTATCTTGCCCTGGCCGGTTTGGCTCAGTGGATGGAGCGTCGGCCTGCGCACTGGAGGGTCTCAGGCTCAGTTCTGGTCAAGGGCATGTACCTTGGTTGCGGGCACATCCCCAGTGGGGAGTGTGCGGGGGGCAGCTGATCGATATTTCTAGCTCTCTGTCCCCCTCCCTTCCTCTCTGTAAAAAATCAATAAAATATACTTAAAAAACAAAACATTATCTTGTTACTAAACAAGGACTGGCCACCCATTGCATACAGAAGCCAATATTATGACATTGGCTTTTGAGAAAAGGTTTTATTGTGAAATCACCAGCAAGGAGACAGAAAACAAGGCTCAAATCTCTTCTAATCTAGGTGAGTTTTAAGAGGTTAGAGAAAGAAGACTGGTATATAAAAGCACTGGCAGGGCAAGTTTTGATTGAAGAGCTTTGGACCTTGGCCATTTATTGAAAGATATGGTAAGGGGCTTCAGCACCAGATCTTCCTGGGACAACCGACCCTTTGCTTCTGAAAGAGTGGACAGAGTTCAAGTTTTGGTCATGTCCCAGTCGTTTTGATCTGGGAGGTAGGGGTAAGGGCAGCTTTGGTTCTGGGTGCAACTAGAGGTCAAATTGTCTCCTCTGAACATGCTTCAGCTGCATGACTTGTGGTTTTGGTTTGTGTCTCTGAAAAGCAACTCAATATCTTGTTAGAAATAGGACAGAGCCTGTCTGAACTGATTCTGCAGTTACAATCACACTTTTTATGGGTCAGGAATTTGGAAGCAACATAGTTAAATGGTTCTGGCTCAGGGTTTCTCAAGACTTTGCAGTTATCTCAAGGTTTGATTAAGGAAGAATCCACTTCCAAGCTCACTCACGTGGTTGCTGGCAGGTTGCTTGAGGAGCCTTAAGACATGGTACCTGACTTCACTCAGAGCAAGTAATATGAAGGAAAGAGAGAGCAGGAGAGATGGAGGGAAAAAGAACACTCCGGGCAGAAACTATAGTCTTTATAACTTAATCTCAGAAGTGACATCCTGTAACTTCTGCTACATTCTATTTGATAGCACCAAGTCATTAAGTCCAGCCCACACTCAGTATCAAAGAATTTGTGAGCATGACATTTTTTAAACCACAATACCACATCCAAATTATTAACCTTCCTAAAGCACAGTTCATCACCACCTCCTCTTCTTTTCTTAGCACCAGTTCCAAAACCTTGTACGATTTCTCCAGAGTATAAACCCTCAGCTAGACAACAAAAATTCCTTAACTTACTCTTCTAGCCTCATCTCCCATTCCTCCCCTCTGCACATTCCTGATCCCGCTACTTACTACTTGCAAACACCACCGTGCACCTTCTCCTGACTTCATACCATTCCCCTGGCCTACCAGCCTCGTTCTCAAACTTGAATGCAGGCGACACATCTGACAACCCTAAGGCTCTTAACACATACTAGAAAAACTGATAAATGAAGCCGAATGTAACAATTCATAATCTTGTGCTCAAACTAGTTTCACCTTATACTAGATTCTAGAATAGGTAAGTGAGAGTAACAGATTTAAGAAAATTTCTTCTAAAATGGATCGAAGACAAAGTCATCATTAGAGATCAGCCAAATACCCATTCCTCCACCTTTGGCAATGTGGAAGGAGCATTTTTTGGGGGGGGGAAACAACTGATATAGAAAGTCTCCTCTCATTCCTTCTCTCTCAAATATTTCCACAGCTAGTTCCAAAAGGACTACAACCATCCATCCTGAAGGTCCATTGAAAAGCTCCTAAAAAGAAAAAGAAAAAAACAAAAACGAAGAAAAACTCCCAAATAAACTATTGTTTATCTACATGCTGGAAGGGCATTCCGAGTTAAAACAGATGAGGCAGAGCATTCTGTACTGACTTGGCCAACCTCCAAGATACATTAAGAGAAAAAAACCGCCCGGGCCCGTGTTTCCCTGTGGTTAGAGCATGGCCACGCGCACCCAAGGATTCGGGCACTCACTACCTGGGTTGCTGGTTCGCTCTGGGGGCGCACGCAGGAGACAGCCAGGCAATGTCTCTCTCTCACATCAACGTAAAAAGAGAGAAAAAGTCAACGTACAGAACAATAAGTAGACTTGGCTACACTTGTTAGAAAAAAGAAAAACAAAAAGACCAAACCCAGCCACACACAGAGAGAAAAAATGACACCAGCCATCCAGAGACAGAAAAAATGACACCAGCCATCCAGAGAGAGAAAAATTACAACTATTTCGTAAACATGCCTTGGGTACCCTTGGCAGGTTCCCAGGGGCAGTGGTCACTTCTGGGGAAGCGGGGCGGGGGCAGATTCCGCCGCATTCCGGCCTGCACGCTCGGTGTGGACGCTCTTACCTCCCACCTCAGAGGCTCTGGCTCCTCGTTCGGGGCCCCCCACCGTTTAACGACGCGCGCGGTGTTTCCCGCGCCTGATTCCACGTAATTCTCACCAGCGGTGGGGAGGTTCCCGCCACCTTCGTGTTGGAGGAGACTGGCTGGACAGCGTCAGTGGTTCCCCCAAAGTCACCGGACAGGTGGGTGGTGGGGCCAGAACGCACCGCTCTCCTCACGCCCCTCGGGGCCTGCCCAAAGGCGGGGTCCACGGAGAGCGGGTGACCTCACTGAGTGCATGGACAGGCCTCCTCTCCCGCCTCCAGGAGCTGGCTCGATGTCTTTTGTGAACGATAGAGACCAAAATGTCGCCAGGCTGCTCCCCGAGCCTCACGGAAACACGGAGAGTTGTCACCTCAGAGAATCCGACTACAGGCGGAGCCACACACTCGGTTTGCTTGCGCCCGCCAAACCTCTACGACGCGACGCCCGGAAGTGACGCGAGGACCCGCCCCACGCTCCCTGACTTCCGGCTACAGGCCTGAGCTCGCGCGTGCTCCTGGGGAGCCAGGCGTGGTGTTCCGCACGCAAGTCTGCACGCGGCGGAAAGAAATGGAGGACTCCGCTTCAACACCCCCCGCAGCCTCAACCGCAACCCCAGCCTCAACCGCAACTCCAGCCTCGACCTCAGCAACCCCGGACGCACTAGGGCAGCTGGATGAAGAGCAGGTGAGAGGCCTTTGGGAGGGGGATTCGGAAGCGAGGTGGCCTTGGCCTTGTGGTGCGCTGGGTGCTGGAGGCGGGCCCGAGCTTCCTCCGATTCCCCCGAAGATTCGAGGGTCACTGGTCGCGGTACTCTCGGCCTGCCCGCCCTCCCATGCGCACGGGTAGGTGCTCGCTTACCCCGACCCTGCGGCCAGGCTCCCTTGAATTGGAATGCAGGGATTTAGCTTGGGATTCTTGAGCGAGGTGTACCTGGCTCTACTTCCCTACCGTTTGACTGTGGCCAAGTCGTTTAATTTTGTAAGCCTCTGTTACCTCGTATTTAGAATGGGCTGCGCTGCCCTCCGCTCTCCAGAATTAGAGGAGGCAGTGCGCGTGCGGCGCTGTAGCCAAGGGCCTGGCATACAGTCGGCGCTCACTGAATGCTAGTTGCAGTGTGATGCGCATTTACTGGCATCACTGCCTTCATCATCGCGGGCAGGGGAAGAAGCGTGTGCCATTTGGCACTTTTCTGCAGACGAACGGATGGATGCTCAGGTGATTTCTGATAGGGTTTTGCATTCCTGTGACTACAAATTGTAGGGTCCTAATAGCTATGGTTTTGGAGGTTGCCTGTTAAACTAGAAATAGAGCAGGAAAAAAAAAGGTAAAAGCTGTAGGAAGAGGGCAAATGCTAAATTGGATTGAGATTTAATTTATTTGTCTATCTTCACTTTGCAGACCAGAAAGGCAGTGAAAACTCTGTTGGCGCATTCCAGATCCAGGAAAAACGCGAATGGATTGCTTTTGAATGAGAATGAAAATTTCTTTTTAATGGTGGTATTATGGAAAATTCCAAGTAAAGAACTGAGGGCCAGATTGTAAGTTCTGGTTTTCTGCCTTTGCTATTTTAATCAGTCAATTCTGTGTAGTGTTAACAGTTGTGATTTAGTTTCTAGTGTAAACATTGCAAACTCAAAAATCTGAGTTGATACAAATAATTGTGCTTTACAAAAAACACAGAGGAATTCAGACAAGCTTAAATTTTTTAGAAATTTCACCAGTCTGGTGGACAATTAACCTAAGCCAGTGATGGCGAACCTATGACACGTGCGTCAGAGGTGACACACGAACTCTTTTTTTTGGTTGATTTTTCTTTGTTAAATGGCATTTAAATATATAAAATAAATATCAAAAATATAAGTCTTTGTTTTACTATGGTTGCAAATATCAAAAAAATTCTATATGAAACACGGCACCAGAGTTAAGTTAGGGTTTTTCAAAATGCTGACACGCCGAGCTCAAAAGGTTCGCCGTCACTGATAGCAGTTCTATTGAATACGAAATCTATTTTTTGAGAGAACAAAAGTTAGAATAAATTAAACAGCTTTTGTACTTTAATAGAATCTGTCATCTTTTCATGTCAAACTACTTCCAAGCTAAAACCCCTGATGTCCCAGACTCACCTCTTTTAAAATATGTTTTTATTGATTTTAGAGAGATAGAAACATTGATGGGAGAGACTATCAGCATCGATCAGCAGCCCCTTGCTGGGGATTGAGCCTGCAACCCTGCCATGTGCCCTGCCTGGGAATCAAACCAGTGACCTCCTGGTGCATGGGTCAACGCTCAGCCACTGAGCAGCACCAGCCAGGCTGAACTCGCTTCTTTATACAGACACTATTTATTTTTTTATTTTTTTAAATATATTTTATTGCCCCTGACCGGAATCGAACCCGGGACCTTTCAGTCCGCAGGCCGACGCTCTATCCACCGAGCCAAACTGGTTTCGGCTATACAGACACTATTTAAAACTTGGCAGTGAACTCCTTACAGAAAAGAAACCAATGGCAATTACACATTCTCATTGCTAGGACTTTTAGGTCAGAGATGCACCTCTGCAATTGCCAGACTTAAATAAAAACACAAGTAATTTTTTAGTATAAGTAAGTCCCAGGTAATACTTGGGACCTATTTTTAAAAAAATTAAAATGTAACTGGGTGTGTTATTTTCTATCTGACAACACTGCCTTTCTGTGGAGTTCCTCATTTCCTGAGTATCAAAAAACCAGCTGTGCTAAAGAAAGCAGTGTATAGGGTAGGGGAAGGAGGGACCAAGAATGATTACAAATTGGAAAGAACCTTTTGATCCTCAAACCCTTCAATAAATGTTTACAAATCTGCCTCAGCCAGCTTCCCTTAGTTATTGCTTTATGTATTCCTCCTACATTCTGTTTTCCATACATTTGCTCAGGCAGTTTTCCCTTTGGGAAAGCCCCCTTACTTCCTCTAGAATATTTTCCCCAGCTGCTCACACCTTTTTGGTGATTTTTGCCACTTACCAGCCTCACAGTTCTTCCCACATTGTTTGCCAGGTCATGCTACTACTGTGTATTACTGTCTCTTCTTAAACAAAGGAAATGTTTCCTTAAAACATACAGGCCTAGGAAGTGCATTAAACCTTTTTTTTCTTTTCTTTTTAACACAGTCTAGTAATCATGGCATGTCTCTTGGTCCCTCTTGGTTTGCTCCATATTTTCTTTTCAGCTCTTAAGAGCTCTGTTGTTTATGGAGCCCAGAGTTTTCTCAATGATAATTTCTAAATCAGATCTGCCCTGCTGGTAATTGATTCTAGCACATTATAGGATGTGTACACATATAGTAACATATGAAATAATAGTTATATATGCACTATTCTGGGTGTCTTTGTATTTGAACTCTTATTCTATCCCAAATATTAATTGATATTTTGTCCTATGGGTATTTGTGTTGACTTCCATCTTAAATCTCTGTGCTATTGAAAGTCAAACATATTTTTAAAATGTTCTCAATATAGAGAACATATACACACTTTAACAGCTGACAGCTCAATTTTGAAGATTAAATGTATTTTAATAAATACTGCCTTTATAATTATTCACATTTGGGGGAAGCACCGTCTATTAGTGTTTACTTAAATAGTATGAGTGAAGTTTACTGAAATGACAGTAAATTGATTGTGTATTCTATGGCATATAAACACTTTCTCTGTATAATAATGCTTTATTCCGTGGTTTCTTCTGTATTTTGCAGGCCCTTGCCTCATGGTATTCGATCAGATTTAGCAGATGTCTGTTTGTTTACTAAGGACGAACCCAATGTAACTCCTGAAAAGACGGAACGTTTTTATAAGAAGCTTCTAAACAAGCATGGAATAAAAACCATTTCTCAGGTAGGGAGCAGTTAATATTTTCAAGATAATGAAAAGATTTGATTCAAATGAAGCGAAAAATAATACATGGCTGTATCACGTAGTATTTCTCTCCTAGGAATTTAATTTTAACATTTTTCTTTTTAACTTAATTCTCCTTGGCTTTAGGTAGGACATATTCCATCTTTCATCTGATGGCTCAGCTGTCCAGGTGTGTTGATCCACAAGCTCACTGTGTACACCAGTACCTTTCTTGAAGATTTTACAAACAGTTGTTCCATTAGGTCATTTATTCTGAACTTCTGGAGCATCCTGTGTTTGCCTCTGACTTGGCATTTCTCACCCGTCTTACAGTTGTTGGTGTCATTTCTTTAGCTGAGGTCGTCCCATCTTATTTGTCTCCGTGTTCGTGGCATTTAGCATAGTGCCCGGCACATTTTAGGCACTCACGTGTTCACTAAACCGGCCCCAGGACATTTTAAAATCTGAATACAAATTGTTCCCTGAGTATTTCTCGTAGTTGTTCATATTCTTTTTGTGTTCTGTGTTTTCTAGATTATCCCCCTCCGAACTTTAAAAAAGGAGTATAAATCCTATGAGGCCAAGCTCCGCCTCCTGGGTAGTTTCGACTTGTTCCTTTCTGATGCAAGAATCCGGCGGCTCTTACCCTCACACCTCGGGAGACATTTCTATAAGAGAAAGAAGTAAGTTTCTGAGCAATCACTGGACTTGAGCATCACAGAACTTATAGGTGTATATGCATTGTACTCTAAATGTCTGTGTCGTTACAGAGTTCCAATACCTGTCAATCTGAAAGCCAAGAATCTTTCCCAAGAAATCAACTCCTCAATAGGTGGAACTGTCTTAAACATCTCTAAAAGTGGTTCTTGCAGGTAGGTAAATGTATACATGTGTTTAATCTTATACTTAATAATGATTTTTATAAACATTTTTTATAAGATAGCGCTAATGAAACCAGATCCTTCTATTAAAACTAAAATCCATTCCTTAGACGTATTCAGTTCTCTAGAACAATGCTATCCCATAGAACTTTCTACAGAGATGGAAATGGTCTGTTTCCCTGCTGTCTCCTACAGGAGTCATTAGCCATGTGGTTGTTGAGCGCTTGCATTGTGGGAACTATAGCTGACGATTAATTTAAATAGACACGTGTGGCTAGTGCTTACCATATTGGATAGGGCACCTCTAGGTTAAGGATAGCAGGGAGAATGAGATTAAATGCTTAGAGAACATCCATATAGTTCTGGGCTTTCATGTTGACCAGCATCATATTATCCTTTAATGTGAAGACCTACCTCAGTCTTCGTTTAAACATATTCAAAATTATTTCATAAAATACTTAGTCTGCTGATTTGGTCACCTGTGGTGTGGGGCTGGGCTGCTGCCAGTAGTGTAGAGCTGTAGAGTGTGGTCCTTTCTCCCAAAGATGCCCAGGAGCCCATGTGTATGTAGTGTCACACAGACCATAAAATAGGACCACCAGGGTTTCTTGACCACACGCCAGGGAGGGCAGTCCTTGGCAGAGTGGTTCCAGGTATGGCCGAACGGAATTTGTGCAAAACACGTGGGCTCTGATGTTGCCTTCTGCCTTCAGATGGGAAGTCCCTTATTTGAGTGTCATTAGGTAACTGAAAAGAGTTGTTCATCAGGCCTGGCCCCTACTTTTTTGGTTATAGGCTGACATAAGAACAGTGGCTCATGGGAAGCAGTTAGCTAGAAGGCCTGAGGCCTGGTTCATGGGATTGGTGAGTAGCTGTGAAAAGGGGACAGCACCATGCATCCAATAAAGGAGTAGAAATCTGCCTCTAAGGTTTTTCCAAGCCAAGTCCAGAGCTTAAAAAACATGGTAGAGAGCTAATAAAAGCAATACAAAAACATAATCATTCTTTTATTTCCATTCTTACCCTTCCCTAACACAGTTGTTTTCTATCTTCCTTCCCACCCTCCCCTTATGTCCACCCCTCTTCCTCTTTCTCCCTCCTCTCCTCCTCCCTCCTGCTATTTTTCCATCTGCAAAGCCAAGAGTGTGCTTGCAGGTAGGCGGCAGAAGACATAGAAGGTGATCAAAGCCCCTTCTTTGGCTGGAGGGAGGTGGGGGCACCAGCCCCTGTCTCACCCTGCTTCTGAGACACCGCCCTTTTGGCTCCCATGGTGGGGAGGATGGGCACTGGCAGGGAAAGTGGTGAGCATCCGGCACTTCTGGGCTTCCCACTTGGATTATATCTGCACTCTGTTTCAAATGAAGGGATGGTCTTGCTCTTGGCCAGAAGACTGATACTGTAGGAGGGAGGAGAGCTCTTTGTCTTAGAGGTGGCAGCTGGGTCAGGGCCGTGGAACTCTTAAGACAGCAAAGCAAGCAACCCTTCCAGGAATCATTCCTTTCAAAACAGTCACTACCAGAGGTAATTGTCCTCAGAAAAGCTGTGGGCTCATTCCTGGACCTGTTTTCCCTTTTTAGGCCTGTATATTTCTATTTCTCACATACCTGCCTATGCCTTATTTTGAAGAATTATTTTTAAAAATCGTTTTTGTCTGAAACTCTTAAATTGCAGCACTATCCGCATCGGTCACACTGGAATGCAGGTTCAGCACATCACCGAAAACATTCTCGCTGTTACGAAAAAGCTTTCGCAGAAATTGCCAGAGGTATAGTCTTGCAGATGCATCAATTGATCGTTCATTTAAAAGACACAAAGCATGTGTAGATTACATTACTCTTTGTTTGTTTGTTTCAGAAGTGGGAGAGTGTGAAACTCTTGTATGTGAAAACTGAGAGATCAGTTGCCCTTCCTATCTTTTCTTCATTTGTCAGCAGTTGGGATGAAGCTAAAGGAGTGAGCATTTCTAGTCTGAAGAAACAAGTAAGTAGAATTTTAAGTACTGGGTAGACTTAGTCAAGGATGTAAATGCTGCCCAGAAGAGGGAACTAAGTTGCCATTTCTGCCTGGCTTTTGTCTTGCAGTAGTTTTCAGTGACTGGTTTTGTGTTCATTGTTCCCTCTTTACCTATGCGATTAGTTAATAAAGTATAGTAGGACGTACATTTATGATAAGGTAGGTGTTTTAATTTCTCGTCAAAGGTCTAATTAGGCTTTAAAAGGACCTATTTATTGGCAAGAGGAGCTAAGAGAGAGGAAATCCAAAATTTAGTTTAAGTTCATTGGTGTTTATGGGCAAAAGTTAAGATTCTATTAGGCTAACACGTACCTCTTGTTTGGGTTGGTAGGTTTTTGGTGCTAATAGGTACTATTGCTAAAGAAACCAGAATGAGCCTTAGCCAGTTGCTCAGTAGTTAGAGTATCGTCCCTCGGACCAAAGGGTAGTGGGTTCGATTCCTGGTCAAGGGCACCTACCTCGGTTGCCCACTAGAATCAGTCAATGTATCTCTTTCATATCTGTGTTTCTCTCTCTCTCTCCCCTCCCATTTTTCTAAAAAACAAAAACAAAAAAACACACACACAATGGAAAAAATATCCTCAGGTGAGCAAAAAAGAAGCCAAAACGAGAGAAAATTGAGACTTTTGCTCTTTGTTGGGTCTATCTCCTCATTTGTTTATTTTTTCTTCAGCCATGTTAATCTTGTCCAGTGAATTTTTTTATTTTGTTCTTTTTAATTTTCTTACTTCCAGAAGTTTCATTTTTTGTTCTTCAAATTGGCTTTGCTTTTTTTGGTTTGCTGTTGTCTAGAAACTAGAGGCTCGATGCACAAAATTTGTGCAAGAGCAGGCCTTTCTTCTGGCTGCCAGCACTGGCTTCCCTCTGGCACCAGGGACCCGGTTTTCCCTCACAGCCCCTGCTTTGTTCGGAAGAGGGTCGTCCTGACATCTGGTCTTATTAGTATATTACTGAAGGTTGTGGCATTTGGAAAATTATTTGTAGAAATGACTTGAGGTGTAGGAAGAAGATCTTATCTCTGGAGGACTGACATTTACATCTGCCAGGCACCTTGGGGCACTCTCAGTTTAGGCTTGCGCATCTCTGAATGACAAACGGTGGTGCTAAAGTTGTAGGACTCTTTCCTGCTCATCTTTGCCCTGAGGGTTGAACTCATGGGCTCTCAGCTTATCGTAGTGAAGAGGGGTTCCTCCTAGAACCCCTGCCCAGTGTGGATGCTGGGATTTGATATCCCTTTATGCACCACCTCCAACCCCTATTTCCCACATGGTGGTTAAAACAGAAGTCAGTGATCAGGAGGTACTCTCTGGGCCAAAATGGATTCTGGACTTACTTCATTGTGCCCTCGCTGTTAATTTGACAATATAGTCAGCTTATCGGTGCTTTTTTGAAAAAAATTTAAAAAACATTTTACCTTGCCTTTTTGTTTTAATTGGGAGGGTGATCCAAAATAATATAGACTGCTAGTAGAGGAAGCAGGAAGGCTGGATTTTTTTTTTTGCCATTTGTCAGCAGAGTCATTTGTGGGCTTTGTAAAAATGTTGGAATTGCTGGTGAAAATGGAATTTGGATGCTATTATAGATGTTATTGAACAGTACTCTGTGGTAAGGATTAAGTACCTCTAGCTATGTAAACTTTTTACTCTTAACTTTCCACCATAACTTGAAGTAGGAAAAGAATGGTCAGGGATTTTTTTTTATTAGCTTTATTGAGATGTAATTTATATCACATACTATGCAATCTGTATAATTCTTAACACATTGTTTGCGGGTAGTTTTTATCGCGTGCTAACAGGTGGCACGGGCCATTTTTGCAGTGAATAGACTGATTACCGTTATACCTGGAAATACATACATAATTCACCATTGTATGTGTTAGAGACCCAAATTTTGTCCTTTGGAATTCGTATATCTGCATGTTAGCATCCCTTTAGAGCAATAAAAAAGTATAAAAATAAACATATTTCTACGTTACCTGCATTCTACCGCTAGTCTATAAAAAAACGTATTAATACGTGTCCCGCGCTCTACTACCAGTCAACGTAAAACGTATAAATATGTTTCCTGCATACAATGTGTTAACTCACCTATCGATGAGATCGACTTTCACAAAACTTGTGACTGCATAACTCAGATACGCAGATTTTGAGTATCTTATCTATAATTTACCACATAAAATGCACCTGTGGCCATGACTGAGAAACAAAGTGGCAATGGGGTTCAAGTACTGGTAACAGGGTTTGTTTGCTCAGAGCTTGTACAGGTCAAGGCCCTTTCAGGGAGCTTATGAATAATCAGAACTGCAAGTGTCATTTATTTTCCAACTAAAGTATCTCTTACTAAAATTTTGGTTTTTTGGTAGGAAGCAAAGAAAATATTAAAACTAAAAGAAAAAACGAGACGAAAGGAGAAGAAAAACAGAAAGCCTATGAAACGGGGTAGAAAGTCTATACCAGCCCTACCTACAGAGGAGACGGCCTCTAAAACTTGTGGTTCTCCAGTGAAGGACCCTGGACCCCAGAAGAAAGAGACCCCTAAGCCTGAGAAGAAAGAGACCTGCAGAATAAAAACCGAAAATAAAGTGCAAGTTGAATCTGAAGAAGAAATCCCATTGCTAGTCCCAATAGGAGAAACTCCTGCCAAAGAAAATGTAGAGGTATGTTTGCTAATGTTTAATATTCACAGTGGATTGATTTAGTGGCCACTGTGTGTCCTACAGGCATTGCTGAGTGGTGAATGTAAGATGGGAGGCACTGTTTTTAGGGAAACCTGTTCTACCAAAGATTTTGAACTAAAAGAGAAATACTGGAGTAAACCCTAAGAACCCAGGAGATGGTTACCATGAATTACCTGATCTTTTGTTTAAATATTGGAGCCACAGTATAGTAAACACAGCCCTTTGTGTACATTGGAATCAAGGGAGACTTGACCATATTAATCTAAGAAACTTTGCCTGTGGTTTTAAAAAGCAGGCCACGGTGGACATTTGGGCAGTGGTTCAGTTTCTGAGGGTGAGTCCCAGATCACTTACCAGGGGAACTGTGGGTCCTGGACCCTGCCTCTAAAATCCTCCAAACACCCCACCCCCAATGGTTCTTAACAGAAATCTGACTTCCTGAGTTTCAGAGGAGGTGATTTAAAGGAACTGGGTTTTTTATTTTTGGTCCTTTGATAATGCTTTTACTCTACTCATAGTATCTGTCCAAACATTGGGAGAAAACCTTGAAAACAAGGGGAGAAATAGGTCCCTAAGAGTCTAGAAGATTACCAACCACCCCCCATGTCTGTAGAGAGGACTTTTGGTCCCTCTGTGTGTATCCTAGGCCTATTACAGCACATTACCTGTTTTGTATTTCGTTCTAACGGTGACCCTTAAACTCTTCGATAGTAAGTACCCTCAGAGCACTACTGGATTTTTTAAATATCCTTAAAGTTAACATAAATGATCATGCTATTAACTGTGTGCAGTATAATTGTTTTTTAGAAAAAGTAAGCTCTTTGCTTATAATGGGACTGGCAGGTAATATGTTGGAATTAAAGAGTGGAAAGCCTAGCTGACAGGGTGTTGTCTCTCAAGAGCTATAGAAGTGTTTATGCCCTTTGAATCCATCTAGGAAATACGTTCGGCAATAATATATGGAAGTTTTATCGTTGCTCACTATAGAAGCAAAAAATGAAAAAGTATTATATACCCTTGCAGAGTTTTTGTAAAATTACTTGAAATAATGTTTGGTAAGAGTTTACAATTCTTTTTTTTTTTTTAATATATTTTACAGAGAGGAAGGGAGAAAGATAGAGAGCCAGAAACATCAATGAGAGAGAAACATTGATCAGCTGCCTCCTGCACGCCCCCCACTGGGGATGTGCCCACAACTAACGTACATGCCCTTGACCGGAATCGAACCCGGGACCCTTGAGTCCACAGGCCGACGCTCCATCCACTGAGCCAAACCGGTTCTGGCAAGAGTTTACAAATCTTAGGGAATACTAATAAAATAATTGGGAAAAGGGCATAATACTTGGAGTTTTTACTTTTTTTCACAAAAGAGGTTTATTAAAGGGGAAATCAAGGGTTTTTAAACATATAGTAGACACCCAACCTAAACTAGTAGAAGAGGAGGGTCAGAGATTTTCCAGAGATGAATGAAGGCAGTGGATCCTTTAAAATGGGTGGGGAACATCTGACCTGAGGGCCTTTTAAGTTCCATGATAACATTTGGTCTGGCCCTGCCAAGGCGTTAGGGTTGAGTTAATTAAATATTTGACCAAATATAGCAGACTAATTTTTTTTCTCCAAAGTGACTTTTTATTTTTTTAAATTTTATTGGGGTTTACATTAGTCAACATGAAAATATAGGTTTCATGTGTGAATTACTAATTTACAAAATCTGTATATAGGACCATGTGCCCACCACCCAAAGTCAAATCTTCTCCTGTAACCTTATATTAGGACACCTTTTTCCCCCCAGCCCTTCCCTCTTGCAACCACCACACTGCTGTTTGTGTTCGTAAGTTTCAGTTTTATATTCCACATATGAGTTAAATCATATAGTTCTTAGCTTTTTCTGTTTGACTTATTTCACTTTGCATAATGTTCTCAAGATCCATCCATGTTGCAAATGATGCTATTTCATCCTTTTTTATGGCTGTGTAGTATACTCCATTGTGTATATATACCACATCTTTATCCAGTCCTCTATTGTAGGGGGCACTTTGGCTGTTTCCAATTCTTGGCCACCGTGAATAATGCTGCAGTGAACATAGGGTGCATGTATCTTTGTCTATAAATTTCTAGTTTTTAGGGTATATACCCAGGAGTGGGATGGTTGGGTCGTATGGTAGCTCTGTTTTTAATTTCTTGAGGAATCACCAGACTGCTTTCCATAGTACTTGTACCAGTCTACATTCCCACCAGCACCGAATGAGGGTTCCCTTTTTTCCACAATCTCTCCAACACTTGTTGTTGCTTGTCTTGTTGAATGGCCTCGCAGACTAATTTTTTTTAATATATTTTATTGATTTTTTACAGAGAGGAAGGGAGAGGGACAGAGAATCAGAAACATCAATGAGAGAGAAACATCGATCAGCTGCCTCCTGCACACTCCCCACTGGGGATGTGCCCGCAACCAAGATACATGCCCCTGACCGGAATCAAACCTGGGACCCCTGAGTCCGCAGGCTGACGCTCCATCCACTAAGCCAAACCAGTCAGGGCTCACAGACTGATTTTTAAGTTGATAATTTTGTATGGCCCTTGGCAGAAAAAAGATTCTGTACCTCTGCTTTACAAGGATGAGAAAGAAGGGATTTGGAGTGTGTTGAGTGAAGGCTTTGGGGAAAGAGCAAGAGCAGGGCATATTCCTAGGAACTGCAATAAATGGCTACAGTGTCAGTGGTGGAGAGACAGGAAGGACAAGGGGAAAGCAAGAGAAGAGATTGTGAATAAGAAGAGTTGGAAATGCCAAAGATCTGGCTGGGGAAGTAAGGGTAGACCAAATCTATCAGCTAAATTTTCAGTGTTTTTCAGAAGTCTTTAAGCCACTTAAAGATTGGAAGCTTTTGGAACTGATACAGAGAGAATGATGTCTCAGAAATAACACTCTGGCTTCACTGGAGACCGTGCATTAATCCAGGAGAAAAGTGGTTGTGGAGTGTCAGACTAGATAAGTGGTAGTGTCAGACCCGGACAGTGGAGACAGCAAGAAATGGATGAAACTGATGAATTTAAGAAGCAGATTCAGCCTGGCCCATGTTGCTCAGTGGTTGAGTATCGACCTATGAACCAGGAGGTCACAGTTCCAGTCAGGGGGCACATACCTGGCTATCTGGCTCGATCCCCAGAAGGGGGTGTGCAGGAGGCAGCCAATAGATGATTCTCATCATTGATGTTTCTCTCCCTTTCCCTTCCTCTCCGAAATCAATAAAAATATATTTAAAAACAAATAAGCCCTAACCAGTTTGGCTCAGTGGATAGAGCGTCAGCCTGCAGACTGAAGGGTCCCG